AAAAAAAAGGATGCGCGTGCACGCGCTGCCCACGCTGGCATTGCCGTGCATTCTCGGTGTAGACTTTTTGAGGGCCTTTGGCCTCGCGGTCGACTACGCCTCGGGCACGTGGCGGTTCGCGGATGAGTCCGCGGGCGGGCGGCCCTTCGAGAGCGCCGCTGTCGGGACGGTGGCGAGCCTGGTGCCAGCGCCGCCTGAGGACGAGGGGGAGGCCGCGCCGGAGGACGGGGCGAGTGTCGCGGGCGTGGACGCGGGCGACCCCGCGGACGCAACGGCGCGCGGGGAGGGGGCACGGTACGGAACGAGGGAAGCTCCACTCACGTGCGTCGGGCTATGCGCGCTTTCGGCGGAGGAACAGGCCCGCCTCTTGAAACGCGAGATCGAGGGGGACCCCCAGCGCCCCGGGGCGACAACGCTCGCGGAACACCGGATTGACGTAGGGGATCACGCGCCGATTAAACAACGGTATTATCCGGTATCGCCCAAGATCCGCGAGGCCATTTATGGGGAGGTCGACAAGATGTTGGCCGCCGGGATTATTGAGCCGTCGCGAAGCGCGTGGTCCACCCCGATCGTGATGATAAAGAAACCGAACGGCACGTATCGGTTCTGTTTAGATTTTCGCCGCCTCAATAGCGTGTCGAAGAAGGACGCGTACCCGTTGCCCTACATAAACGCGATTCTCGACAAACTAAGGTCGGCCCGGTATATATCGACTATTGACTTGAGCCAAGCGTATTTTCAGATTCCGTTGGAACGGAACAGTCGCGAGTTAACCGCGTTTACCGTGCCGGAAAAGGGGCTCTTTCATTTCACGCGGATGCCGGGCTGACCGGAGCGCCCGGCACCTTCCAGCGTTTGCTCGACCGACTGATAGGGCCCGAAATGGAGCCGCACGCGTTTGCCTATCTGAACGATATCGTGATCGTCACGAAGACCTTTGACGAACACCTGGTCTGGCTACGTCGAGTATTTAGCCGCATCCGCGAGGCAGGCCTCACGATAAACCCGGAGAAAAGTAAATTTTGCCGGGCGCAGGTGAAATACCTCGGGTTCCTCGTACAACACGACGGCCTGCGGGTCGACCCGGAGAAGACGGTCGCGATCGTGGAATATCCGGCCTCGCGTAACGTAAAACAACTACGACGGTTCATCGGAATGGCCTCGTGGTATCGGCGATTCATACCGGACTGCGCGACACTCCTCGAGCCCCTGACGCGATTACTTAAGAAAAACCGGCGCTGGGAGTGGGGGTCGGAACAGGGGGACGCCTTCGAGAGCATAAAGTCCCGTTTAATTTCCCCGTCCGTATTGTCGTGCCCCGATTTTGAAGTGCCGTTCTCCGTGCAAACGGACGCGAGTACGGTGGGACTGGGGGCCGTATTAACTCAAAATATCGAGGGGATGGAGCGCGTGATCGCCTTCGCGAGTCGCTCGCTATCGGACGCGGAGCGGAATTACTCCACCACGGAGCAGGAGTGCCTCGCCGTGATTTGGTCTATAAGGAAGTACCGCCCGTATCTGGAGGGATACCAATTCACGGTGGTCACCGATCACAGCAGCCTCCCGTGGCTGCACAACCTGCGTAATCCGACGGGGCGGTTAGCGCGATGGGCGTTGGAGCTGCTCGAATACGACTACGCCATCGAGCATCGGAAGGGCGCGCTTCACCACGTGCCCGACGCGCTGTCGCGAGTGGGCGAAACGGAGGAGTGGTGCGCGGTCGCGATCACGGGGGACGGATGGTACGACGCGCGGGCGGCCGCGGTCGAGGAAAATCCGCGTCGATACCCGGGGTGGCGGGTTACCGACGAACGCTTGTACGCCCGAAGGCCGCGGGCCGTAATCTCGGAGGTGGTCGAGGATCGCGACGAGTGGAAGTTGGTGATACCGGACGCGTCGCGGAGGGATCTCGTGAGAGCAAACCATGACACCCCGCAGGCGGGCCACTTCGGCGTCGAGAAAACCTACCAGCGACTCGCGACGCGGTACCACTGGCCGCGCATGTTTCGCGACGTCGCCGAATACGTCCGTCGGTGCGACACGTGCCAGCGCACCAAGGTAGAGCAAGCCGTACCGGTCGGCTTAATGGGGCGGAGGGTGGTCGAGGCTCCGTGGACCGTGGTCGCGGCCGATATAATGGGGCCGCTGCCGACGAGCAAGAGCGGGTACGCGTACCTCCTGGTGTTGCAGGACTTATTTACCAAATGGATCGAGCTCTGTCCCCTCCGGCGGGCCACGGGTAAAAAGATACGCGAGGCAAACACGTTTCTTGAAATGTATTTTGACGCAAACGCCTTCGATGTGATTTACGAAAACGCAGGCGTGTATTCGAGTTGTTAAAAAAAAATGTTGAGCCCGTTGTGTTTGTCAGCGTTGCATGATCGAGGAGCTTGTCATTTTCCGCTGGGGCGCGCCGCGAGTTTTATTGACGGACACGGAGTTCATTAACCGGGAGATCGGGGCCCTCGCGGCCCAGTACGGTATTAGCCACTCGACGATTCCGCCATACCACCCGCAAGCGAATCCGGTCGAACGCGTGAACCGCGTGCTTAAAACCGTGATTACCGCGTTCCTAGAGCGGGATCACCGGGAATGGGACCTCCACCTCGCCGAGTTCCGCTTCGCGTACAACTCCGCGTACCATACGTCCCTCCGAACGACACCCGCCTTCCTAAATTTCGGGAGGGAGCCGGACCCGGTACGCCTAACCGACCCCGCGGAGGCGGCGGCGACCGCGGTCGAGTTATCGAATCCCCAGCAGTGGGGCCAACGCATGGAGCGCATGCACACTCTGCGAGCATGGGTGGTGGAAAACCTGGAGGCCGCCCGGGAGGTCCAAGCACGTCACTACGATAAGGGGAGGAGGGACCGACAGTATGAGGTCGGCGCGCCCGTGTTGAAGCGGCAGCACGTATTGTCGTCCGCGGCCCAGCATGTCTCCGCGAAATTGGCGACCAAATTCCACGGCCCCTACACCATCGCGAAGATCTTATCGCCGGTCGTGTACGAGCTGGCGGATCCAGGGGGGGCTCTCGCGGGCAAGGTGCATGTCAAGGATCTCAAGCCTTACCACGAGCCCTTTGGTCCCTAGGCACCGAGCGAGGAACGAGTGTCGCGGCAGGGTATCCACGCCACCGAGGGATACCGGGGAGGCGTGGCGGCGCGATGGAGGACCGCGCCACCTTCAACCGGCGATGGGGTCCCCTGTACCGGTGGATCCTCCAAGAATACCCCGGGTTCTGGGAGGCCCTCCACGCCGAGATGTTCCGCCAACTGAGGGGGCCCGAGGATCTCGGTCGCGTGACCGTCTCCGATTGGCCGGAGTCGCGGGAGGTCGGGGCACAGACGGAGTCGGTCCCCCGTAAGAGCCGGGGCACCCAGGCGGACTGCCCGGGGGCCCGCACCGAGGACGCCGCGACGCAGACCGAGTCGGGGGAGGTGCGCCGAACCACGCGATATCGGGACGCGGGCACCCAGACGGAGGAGGGGCCCGCCGACCACGAGGAGCCCCAGCCAGCGGAGGTCGCCCGCCAGCCGACGCCACTACCGCGAGCCGCGAGCGAGGATCGCGCGAGGAAGAGCCGAGGGTCGCCGCTGCTGCTGCCGAAGGAGGCCCCGCCACCCATCGCCCGGGAGAGTGTCGACCGGTGGGGACAGCTGGAGCGCTGCTGGAACTGCGGTTCCGCCACGCACTTCGCGCACAGCTGCCCCAGCCCCCGCATCCGGAAGTTTTGTTACCGGTGCGGTAGGGATGGGGAGGACGTCCGGCAATGCCCAGCCTGCCGCCCGGGATGGGTGGCCGAGGGCCCGTACGTCCCGGGGAAGGGCCACCCGGGGCCGAAGCCGCGTCGCCGCCGGGGACCTCCCCCGGGGGTGAAGAGGAAGAACGCCCGCTAGAAGGGGTGGTTCGATTTTTTTGTTCGTTCTGTTCGCCGTGTCGTTTTTTTTGTTTGGTTTTTGCGGTTCCCTTTTCTCGTTCTTTTTCGCGTCTAGACTAAGCCTCGATTAGTTTCCCGTTTACCGCCTAGGATAGCTTTTTGTTTTTTTTGTTTGTTTGGTTGTTGCGTTTTCCGCTCCTTTTCGCGTCGTTCCGTTCGGGCTGTGCCGTCATTAGTTCCTTTTTCTTGTAGTGATCTCGCGAATTCGTTGGTATCGGGGGAGGGAACGCCGCCTAAGCGATCCACACTTTGTTTTGTTTTTGTCCCTCCCGTCCGAACCCCAATTATCATAGTTGACCTCGTTAAATAACGCGGAAGACGCCACGACGGGGAGGCCCGTCGCCAACTCACGCCGGAAAAGTTCGTCTTTCGCGTCCCGCGCGTAGCTACGCCGCCCCAAAGGCCGCGTCATGTGACGACCGCGCTAGCGGCGAATAAATGGTAGCGTTACATTAACCGCCTATCCCGGTCTGGTCTGTTTCTTTTTTTTCTGGTCCCTTCCTTTCTGGTCCTTGTTTTTTTTCTTTTCGGCAGAGATCAGGGGTCTTTCGGCGGGCGCCCGGGTGCCCTGGGATAACTGCCGTCCGCGCTTCGGTTGGAGCCTCGCGGTGCCGCGCGCGATGCCGCGAGGGTTGCCGTGAGAGACCGCGAAATGCGACACCCTGGGAGGATCCTGCGGAAGGAATGGCCGAGCCGAGCGCGGTCAACTCGGAGGCAGGCGGCTTGCCGAGGGCCATCTTCGCCGGTGCGGCTCCTCTTGGCGTGGGGGTGTTGTGACGTGGCGGATTAGCTGCCGCGTGCCAGCTCCCCGCTGCCGTCCCAAGGCGCGGTGTCGGTCCGCCCGGGAACAGAGGATCCGCGCGAGGCCGTAGGGAAACCTCCCGGGGTCGCAAACACACCTTTTTATTTACTGCCCGCTTACCCGAGACTTTTCTTTTTGTATCGCGCCCTTGGAGCGTCACCGAGCCGACCGAATCATCCCCGAAGATCAGCTGACAGCGGAGCCGAGAGTCGAGCACGGGAGGAGAAAAGGGGGGAGTAGAGGGGCGAGAGCGCGGAGGGGCGGCCGCAGGGAAGCCGAGGGGCCAGGCGGAGAGCGGGGCGAGTCGAGGGGCGCGGGCAAGGGACGCCGCCGGACGATGACCGCCGAGGGGCCGAGCCGCCCTGGAGCCTGGGGCCCGAGCACGCGGAGTCGCACCTGAGGGGCGAGAGACGAGGCGCCAGCCGGACAGTGAGCCGCGGGGCGAGCACGGGCGGAGGTCCTCGGAAGGTCAACCGGATCGGCGGAGCCGAAGGACCAACGCGCCGGAGAGCGGGCCCAGGATCGACCGCCCCGGCCCTGCGAGCCGCGCGGGGCGAATTTCGCGCCCGGAAGCGCACTGACAGCGATTGCGCCCCTGCGGACCCGGCGACACGCCGGGCGAGCGACCCCCGGATTGGCGGATCCGCGGCGCCGCTATCTCGCGCAGCCCCTTTTCGCGATCGTAGCGAGCGATCGGGTGATCGACCCGCTCGCGCCGGATCTTCCGCTTTCGTTCGCGGATCCTCGCCCACGTAACTTCGCGTCGGAGAGCGTGCGTCGAGCCGGCGACCTGAGTGCCGAGCACGTGACGAGGCCGTGGCTAAAGTCCGAGGAGAAGAGTGCCGACCGGGACCGCGCCGTGGGTGCCTGGGAGCGTACCGGTGAGGTGGCCCTCGAAGGGAAAACTAGTTATGTAAAAGCCGCGTGCTTCCGAGGGGGTTAGCTCGCGCTCTGGCGCCGCTCCGCGTTCCATTTCGTGTTTCGGGCCGTCGGGCGTCCGCTCCAAGGGGGAGTCGACGCCGGCCATTTCGTGTCTTGAGCGGATCGGCGGTGCCAAGCGCGGGAGCTCCCGGGGAACGGCCGTGGGCTTATCGGGCGACCGTAGCGGGCTCATTTCGGGTGTTGCGACCTCGGAGGGGAGCGTTGAACAGACGCCCCGTACGCCGTTGTTCGAGCGGGCGCCGTGTGGCCCGCACCGGGGAATTCTTTCGCGGCGGACCGGCACGCCGAGTGTCGGCCGCAAATCACGCGTCGCGAGCGTGGGCAGCCTTCCGCGGGGAGGCTAGAGAGACCGACGGATCGCGAATTCGCCTCAGCGGAGGCCCCTTGCTTTTTCTTTTCCCTTTTTTTTGGTTGTACCCGATACATTAAACGGCCTATGTCACTCTTTTAACCCGAGTTGAGCTTAATTTCGTTTGCTAGTCTAAGTGTGAGTGTGTGTCGCGTCCCGTCCCGCCGTCCCGTTCCCGCGGGCCCGTAACTACGGGACCCCGCCACTCTACCGACGATAGAGAGCAGCCGGCCCTTCTCGCGTCGAGGAGGCTTAGTCGCGGCGCTCGTCAAGCGGATCGACGCCGTTTTCGTCACGGTCACCAGGGTACTTCGCGACAAGTAATTGACGCCGCCCGCGAGCGCGTCTGGCGCCCAACTTCGCCTTCGTCCGCTGTCCCCGTTCCGGCGATCGGCCCGGAACGGCGACGGCAGCGTATCGTGCGCGTAAGCCGCCTCTTTCTCTGTCGCGCCCGGCGAACATAGGAAAAAGCGTGACAGTACATAGACTAGAAAGAAAACTAGTGTAGAAAAAAAATTATGTAAGAAACAAACATAAAA